CCCGCCCCGCTTTTGAGGCCCCGCCCCCTACCGACTCCGTTTAGCTTCGCCGAACCGCTACCTTCACCGCGCGGCGCCACAGCCACCGCCCTCCGCAGCCAATTCGCCAGCCAGAGCGCCGGGTTACCTGCGGCACACAGTTTACGATGATTGACACTGGCAATCACCAATAGGATTCAAGAGCCTCCAACGGCGGAGGCGGGCAGGAAGGTGGCCATCAGGAACAGTTGAGGGTTGCTACGGGAGAGAAAGGATGAGTAAGGCCAGTGCTGATTGGCTGAGGCTTTCCCTGCCACCAATCAGGCGTGCTGTTGTTGCGAGGCTGGTTGTGAAGGGGGAAGCTTCTGGGAATAGAAGTGGTGGTGTGGGCTGGTGCCGGTCCCGTTTTCAGCTTGTGCTCATGGCGCTTAGTTTCAGGAGAGGCCGGAAGGGCCCCTTTGTGAGTATTATCCCGCAAGTCCGAGCGGTCAAAGGCCAAAAGGGGGCACGGGGCCGCGGCGCTCATCGTAGACTAGAAGGGACCTGATGGACGCTGCTGTTCCCCCGAAGCACCCTCCCCCACCCGCGGGGGCCCCCACCCTTTCCCACCAGGCCCCCAGTGCTGAGCAAGAGGCTGTGGACAGTCGGCTTTAGCCTGGCCAAGGTGTCCCCAGAGCATGGACCTGCCCCTTCTGTAGAGACCATGGTGAATCTGAAGCACTTCCCAGGCCTGTGACGGCAAACGTGAATCCCGTTACCTACGTCTACGCTGCAGGAATTTGTGGGCAGAGGCAATGCAAATGAGGCGCTCATTAGCATTTCTTACGCTCTCTTTTGCATAGTCGCTTCCGATTCTTTTTGTGGAAGAGGTTTTTGCACACAAAAAAGCAGGGAGGAATGGCCATTTTGCATGCACGCACGCGCATACACACCAACCCAACCCTTTTGCTCAAATTCCTCCTTTTGAGAGGCATAAGCTGTTGACAACCGTTGTCCCAGGTGGTCCTTTTTGGGAGACACACTCAGCCACAGTTCAGCAGCAGTTTTGCTTGTATCTGCTGTAGAAAAGAGATCTGTCAAAGCCCAGCAGATCAGCTGCTTCCATCAGGGGCCATCATAAATCTTATCATGCCTGTAGCTAACCTAACATTGAAATTGAGTGTTGGGTGATTTGTTCAGTGTTCAGAACCAGAAGACTCATCCCCAGGGTGCACTGGATGGCATGGGAATGGTGCACTGGAGTGGATTGGCATTAGAGAGGAAAGAGCAAATGGGGTCCATGCTTTCTTCTTACTCTTGGACAAAGGCAGCATGGCTACATTGAACGAATGGCTATTGCACCAGCCTGGATTGGTATCCACATTTTTCCCCCTTCTCCAAAGGTTAACAGTAGATTGGGAAGGATCTTAGGAGATGTTTTGAAGAATTTTGTGGCTGGGGCAGAGGGGAAGGAGAGAGAAGAAAAAGTTAAAGAACTATCAATTTATTGCTCTGCCTGTTTTTGTCCAAGAAGCACATGTGCACTCATCTAGCTTGCCCTCTTTAAGCAGCTCAGTTGATAGCAGAAAATAAAGGTTGTAATTAACAAACATATAACTTTAAAAAGTGATTTGTACACAAATGAATTATTGTATTTCAGAGAACACTTAGAATGTACATCACAACATAATTAACTGAAGGTTTTTCGTTATGATCAGGGCTTGACAAATGGCAGCGAAATCTACTTGCCAGCCCTGCACTCCTCACGTGCAAGACCCACATTGCGCATGCGTGCGCCATCGGTGAATGGGGCGACCGGCTGAAATCTACTCGCCACGGGAGAGTAGAAACAGCAATTTGTCGAGTCCTGATTATGATGATAAAAAAAAATTCAACTTTTTCTTTTGGGTTTTTTGTTTTTGTGCTGCTCCCAGTGGAGTATTAGCCTGCTAGTCACACTGTTTACTTTTATCTCTAAATAATTACAGGAATACCTTGAATTACCAGACCATTAAATGTTTCACTTAAAAAAAAAAATAGAATGGGTCATGTCAGTTCAGAATACTGCCTATTAAATCCAGGATCTGGAAGCAGTAGCCTTTGATAATTCAGATGGAAAGAATCTTTGAAACGCACCAACTCAGGAGCTAGTAAATTAGTACAATTGCCTTCCCAATTTCAATAGTTCTCATTTTTCTGCCACACCAAGATAAGGTCATTTCAGGACCAGAACAATCCTCTGTAACTGAAATCCTAAATACATAAGCTTTTCCACTCCCTAAAATAGTCAAATTTGCCCAAAGGGTTGAGCCCTCCTACAGCACACTCCTTTATAAAAGTGTTATTAGCGCTAGCTACTCAACGGGCTCGTCTACACTGGCCCCTTTTCCGGAAGGGGCATGTAAATTTCACCTATCGTAGTAGGGAAATCCGCGGGGGATTTAAATATCCCCCGCGGCATTTAAATAAAAATGTCCGCCGCTTTTTTCCGGCTTTTAAAAAAGCCGGAAAGGAGCATCTACACTGGCCCTGATCCTCCGGAAAAAGCGCCCTTTTCCGGAGGCTCTTATTCCTACTTCCTACTTTGAAGTAGGAATAAGAGCCTCCGGAAAAGGGCGCTTTTTCCGGAGGATCAGGGCCAGTGTAGACGCTCTTTTCCGGCTTTTTTAAAAGCCGGAAAAAAGCGGCGGACATTTTTATTTAAATGCCGCGGGGGATATTTAAATCCCCCGCGGATTTCCCTACTACGATAGGTGAAATTTACATGCCCCTTCCGGAAAAGGGGCCAGTGTAGACGTAGCCAACTAGTATTAAGCATTATGCAAGTTTCAGGAGCATCTTCATGATATTTTTCCTCTATTCAAACTAAACTCGCTTTCCCTCTCTCCTCATGTTGCCCTCTGTGGTGATCCACTGTGACCAACTGAAGAGGTAATACCAATAAACCCTTCAACTAGTTGCCTCTATAATCTTTTTCACTAGAGGAAGGATCACATTATGGCAATGTTGGGGAGACAGAGTTTAAAAAGTTTGGAAGAAATAAAGTTGCCCTTTTGGCTCTACTACCCTTATTCATTTACAAAAAGTAGTTGTGATAGCAAATGTGTTGTTTAGAACTCTGTTACTTGAGAATAATGGGAAAAATATACTTGTGAGACTTGAATGAATCACAAATTGTTAACTAGTGGCAGCAGTTACTATTATATTTTAAAATCATATAGAACCTCTTGAAATCATATGTGGACATGAATTTGCATGTAAGTGTTCTCCCTGTTAGTGTTATTTTGTATAGTGTACGTGTTCAGTCTTGTGTTGCTGTCCTTCAGTTCATTGTCAACTAACTTTATTTTAAATTGTCTAGAAACATATAGCTCATGGCCTGGTCCCTGCTGCTACCATAGCTCCTAAACCTGCAGTTCCCCGCACCCCTCCCCCTCGTAGTCCAAACCCTTCTCCAGAAAGGCCCAGGTAGGTTTTAAAGTTGCTTCTTTTTCCTCTGTTAAGTACCACTAGTTACGGTGGAATTACAATAACTAGTGTAGTAGAAATGCATGATTAGAATAATTGTATATCTATACTGTAGCTCTTGTAACCTTTTTCTCAAGCAGAATATATTTTCTGTATAGAATAATTTATTTTAACTGTTAAGATCTGCATTCTGTTCCCCTTTGCCTAAGCATTCATAATATCAGACTAATGCCAAGGCCATATCCTGTAACTGTTATAAACATATAACTGCTATTGAAATTACTAGGAAACTTTACACACAGAAAATCTACTGTGGACTGTTTTTTGTCTAAATGTAGCCTGTCACTCTTAATTCATATAATCAAGAATTAAATACAGGTGTGAGAAGCTATATAGTTTCTTGGTAAATTCCAAGAGACATTTGTTTTAAGTTTTGACAAAAATGAATGAATTTGTTGTTAGAGTACAGCAACATTAAATGAAGGTTGCTTAAGATTCCATTTTCTTTTAAAACAACAAATAGTCTGATAGCACTTTAAAGATTAACAAAACATGTAGATGGTAGCATGAGCTTTTGTGGGCACAGCCCACTTCTTCAGATGACCATCTGTGGGATGTGCCCACAAAAGATCATGATACCAGCTACATGTTTTGTTAGTTTTTAAAGTGCTACCAGACTATTTTTTGTTTTTTAAGTTTATCCTGTACAGACTAACTCGGCTACCCCCTGAAGCATTTTCTTTTAGTTAGTGTAGGGCAGGGCTGGGCAACATGCAGCCTGAGGCCCTGATCTGGCCTGCCTAATGCTTTGTTCTGGCGCATGAACTGTATCTGGCTGTTTTCTATTTATATCCTGTTGCCTGTGTGACCAAACTTCCATGTGGTGGCTCAGGCTGCAGGATCCTATTTAAATAGCTTCCAGTTGCAATGCTACCCTGGCAAATAACCCCAGGCATCTGCTAGGCAATGTGGTAGTGGTGGGGCCAGGAGCTACAAGCACTCTGCTGTGATTTTAATTCAAACTTCCAGCCCATGACAATGCTCTGGGGAGGCTAGTCCCCAGCCCCACCTCTTCTGCCCAAGCCCCACCCCTTCCTGGGGTGGAGCTAGCCTGTGACCACATACCAAAATTTCTTAAGTGGCCCCCCCCTGTGAAAATTTTGGCACTCTCTGGTCTAAGGATACCAAAAAAAAAAAAAGTTCCACGAAACCTGAGGATCTGAATTTTCAATATTTAATGAAGACCCATAGCATTTCACACACTGTAAATGAAGGCAAAGGTTCTTCACACAGTATCTTTAAGTTTAAGAACCTGATGCTGGTGCCTTCCACACAGGCAAAATTCCCATTAGTTTGCTTCTTACAGAGAGCATTAGCAGGCCCTAAATAATACCATCAGTACTAAAGGAGGCCCGATTCCTGCGAAAGCAAGAAAATAAACAACAAATTCTTTAGGTTAAGCAAGGAATACCCATGGTACCATAGAAATGTTGTTATTTTTCTGTTCCTTTCCATTTTTAGTCCCCTTTCAAATTTTCTTTCTCCTCCTGTATTCCACTCTCTCTTCTGCTGTACGTTATCCCTCACTGCTGGTAGTTGTTTTTCAGTCTTCTTTCTATGTCAATCCTCACCTGTTTCCTGGCTGTGTTTGGTATGTCCTTAGTCAACCTCAGTTCGTGCTACCTTTGGCTCTAAGGTTTTCTCTTTTCTTATGATTTTTTCACTATTTTTTACTCTTTGATTCCATTTGTCACCTCACCCTGTAACCCCATTCCCGCCAAATATACTCCGTCTGTCATATCCCAGATCACAATCTAGAACATTAGTTTCCATCCTGAAAGTCAATAGCAGAAGCAGATTAGGGAATAGCAGGTGACAGGGAACATGGGGATGATACTGGGTACTGTGGAATACTTCAGGCAAATTCTGCCCTGAGTTTTATATATTCAGCTCCATGCAAACCATTCAAATTTCTGTACATGTGATGTAGGAAAGTATGAGATGGAACAGATTTTACACACAGAATAAAATTATAGCTGAGTTTAAGCCTAAACAATTCTGTGGGTTGGTGGTTTAAAACATTTTAAGATTTTTTTTATATTATTAAGTTTTAAACTTTGTGCTATCACCTAATTAGTAAAGGTGCTTCACAAAAGGTACAGATAAAAGCTTTGAGCCATAGCGAATACATCACAGTGATTGTTACTTTGCTTTCTTCTAGATCTGCCCTAGCAGCAGCTATTCTAGTGACAACTTTAACTGGGCGTACAGTTGCTATTCCTCACCCTCGTCAACGATCATTTTCTGAAAGTGATACCACCTGTTTGGAGCAAGAAAGTTTTATTGAGCCCTATGCCACAATCACTGAGCTCAAACTAGGGTAAGTCAGACTTTCTGTTTCAGCATCTCACATTGTGAATAAAATCTGAAAATGATGTTTGCACTCTTATTATGAGTTATGTTAAATATTTTCAAGCCCTAATACTGAAGTTACTTATTTAAACTAATCTTTTCCTTTCAGTGTCCTAGGTTAAGTGCAAGGTGCCCACCTATTTCCCTTTCCCCATTTTCCATTTCACATATATGACAGTGTTATAACCACAGATTCCAGAGGAGAAAGATTGAAAAGTGCAGCAAGACATAACAGTAAAAACGTGCATATGAAGGTTTACCAATTCACCCCCATTTGCACAATTATTCTTAAGGAATCATCTGAGTTGCACATAAGGTAATTCCGTTGGTAGTCCCATTAAAAATAGAGGATGATATGCTTTCATGTGTCTATCTACCAGATGTGGGGGATGCAAATTTCCACTTTCAGTGACATAAACCAGAGTGTGAACTAGGGATGTTAAATTTAGATTCATTGGCTAATTGAATAGTCGATGCAAATTGCATCGACTATTTGATTAGTCAATAAGGGCGCCTCCGCCTTGAAGTGTAGCAACATCTCCAGGGCTCTTCTCTGCAGTGAGAACAGGGCCAGCGGGGGCTCAAGCAATCCCCCATTGATCCCATTCTCTCTGTGGTGTTTCAAAACGGCAACACCACATGGAGCCCAGGGTCAGCAGCGGACTCCTCAGCTGGCCTTGGGCTGCATGCAGCGTTTCAAAGTGACAGTGCTGCATGGAGCCCAAGGTCTGGCCTCAGGCTCCAAGGGTGGCTGCCACTTTGAAGCATCCCTTCCTCTCTCCACCCCTGCTCTTGCTGCTGATAGAGGTAGCAAAAGTGGGGGAAGCAACTAGTTGACTAGCGTGTAGACTATCTGATAAACATTTGCTTATTGGATAGTCGACTAGTTGTTTACATCCCTATTGGTTACTCAGCTATTCTGTAGTCCTCAGGGGTGGGGCCGACAGCAATCCAGCCCCTCTCCCGAGGAGCCCCTTTCCACTCCACGCTGCTGCCTGTATATCAGAGGCAGCAACGCGGGGTGCCAGGCGAGATCTGGTACGCAAGGGGAGTCGGTTTTAAAACCAGCTCCCCTTGCGGCCTGGCTGCCCATCGCCCTGTGCTGCTGCCTCTGATACACAGGCAGCAGTGCAGAGTGGCAACAGTCCCTGTCCAGGATGGGGTCTGAGCTCCTGGACCCAGCATAAGCCAGAACTGAGCCAGGCTGCCTGCCCATCTGGCTCCTAATACACTTTAAATGCAGAGTCGCAGCAGGGGTAGGCCTTGGACCCAGTGTAAGCTGGGACTGAGCCATACTGCTGGTCAGCCTGCAAAAAAATTTACTGGTGGGGGGTGCAGGCAATGTGTGTAGTCTATAGCATTAAACCTATAAGCTTTTGCTTATCGGTTAATCAACTATACTATTACATCCCTAGTATGAACAGCTGAAATTCTGGACCATTGCATGCGCCACTAAACATGTAGTTGTCTTTTTTAGACATCTACTGTTGTGTCTGAGGTATATGTTCAGAGTGACTGTTTAAACATTACTAGCCTTTGTTTTTTTGGAAAAGAACAAGTATGTATTTTAAAGTGTTCTCCATTTGCAGGTCTAATTGGAAGCATGATGATAGTGAAAGATCTGTGCAGTCGCTGGAAGTGTCAGGCAATCGTTGTGAAGATGAAGACATGGACACATACCTTTCTGACACAGAAAAACAGCCGGAACACAACTATCAGAGTACAGAGAAAAAAGAGGAAAGCTTAAGCAATGATGCTATTTATGCTGTTCCCCACAAAAATAAAAAGGTTGGTTACTTAGTTTCTTTTGCACATCTTAATATAAAAATATAAGAATCTGAATGTCTGAAAAAGATTATTACATTTTTTCTGCATTCATAAACATTTTGTCTGGTTTGCATTTTTCATTCTTGTCTTGTGTTTCACTTACCTCTGACTGGAGTCCTCCAAGTTAGTTTCATTAACACATTCACAATCACCCACTTGCATTCCTGATGGCTTTGGGGTTTCTTTTACCAGAATGATTTAGAAGTTGCCAGGAAACATATGTAGTATCTTAACACCTTATTTCATGTTTAACGAGTGTGCATATTTATCTGAGCAAAGCATGCACCCTCAGTCCATTTTCTAGACGTTGCAGCCCAGCCTTATTTTATACCTGCAGTTTTGCAGGCAGAAATAACAGATTATGGTTTCTGTTAACATGATATACAGCTACAAATGTTTGTGGGCACAAATCAGTTAGCAATTTAAACCATGTCATTTATACCCACAACTGTTTCCACTGGGAAGATTAGAAGCTCTTTTTGAAAATGTGTGCCCACAGCTCACTGCTGGCTTATAGAGGGGTTCAGTACACTAAGTATGAAACCTCTACTGTAGGCTGTAGAGAAGAATAGCTTGGAGAACTCAAGTCATATGAATTATACATACTTTATAACTTCCAGAAATTGGAATAATGATTTTTCTTTGATTGTTTGTTATATACATATGAACTCACACACACAGCTACATTAAAAGAACATTACTATTGTAAAATCAACCACTCAAAAGTTAGACAGTGCAAGAAATTAAGTTTACTTGTGCAATCCGAATTCATCTGCCTTGCTCATGTGATGATAATTTTTTAATTACATTGTATAGTGTCTTTTCCATAGGATCCTTACCTTGTTAGAGGCACAGAATGAACTCTGATCATTTAATGAACAGCAGCTATTTACTATTTGGTTTTATGTTCCTTGCTCTCTGTGTGGTCTTGAACCTTATTTTTGATAAGCTATTCAAATCCTGTGCTGAATTATAGTTTCTTATGGGCTTTTCTGTAGAGTTCATCACTATCTACAAATGCTTCAAAAACTTTAATTTATCTTCACAATATTGCTGTAATGTGCAAGCTCCCAACCCCACCTACAGCCCCACCTGTTTTGTCCAGGCCCTGTCCCCATGAGAGCCAAGACCTCCCTGCTCCAGCACCATGAGAAGGTGGGGCAGTGTGCGGTCCGAGCCTCCCTGGCCCCAGAGCATGGTGCTTGGGGGCAGCAACACTCTGCTCCCAATATGCCTATATTAGGTGTTCTGGAGCAGAGTCTGGGGCAGGCCAGGCTGATGGTTTGGGAAGGCAGTTTCTTCCTCTGCCTAGTATACTCGCCACCTCTGCTCCTTCCCTCTCCAGACATCTGTCTCTGAGTCTTCTCATCTCTAGTCACAGTTTCCTTGCCAAATCTTTTCAGAAAGCTTCTGTTTTGTCAGCCTAGGCTTCTGCAGCCCAGTCCCAGTGTCATCTGGCTTCTTCTGTCAATCTACTCCTTTCCTTTCCCTGATCTTTCTCTTGTCCTCTCTATATTCGACTCAGGTCAGGAGAAACAAGATCTGTGCTCTCAGTTCCAGTTTCTGAGCCCATCCCAGAGCTTCTGGAAGCAGCAATTTTAAGAGAAATCTGGCTTTTCCCGTATAGCTCTGTGGTGGAGCATGCTCACTTAGTCTGTGGGGGTGGTACACATACATTCAGTTTGTTGGTTTTTTAAGTTTTTTAAGAAAATACTGTAATTCCTTATCTACTGTTATGATTTTCATACATGTAAATCTAAAAGAAAAAAGAGGAAAATATGGATTTAAGTATAATCTTGATAATCTTGAAACATATCTGTTCAACAGTCATTTAAGGACTGGTGAAGGTGTTAATGCTATGAAAGTGTCACATGGACTTGCATGCTTGCAAATGCACATGAGCTGCTGTTTGGGTGTTCTCTGGATTTGTATAATATGGTAACTTCTCTGTGATATTTTCATTCAGGGAAAGGTTCCAGTATCTCCTAGTGTTAATGATGATGAGAATGAAATTTCTTCCCATGAAGCTGCTTTTCCAGTTTTAGTAGACCAGTCAAATATACAAGTGGAAGGTAACAAATACACTTTAAAAGTGATTTTTTCCTACTTTTTAACCTCCAAGAGTAACTATGAACTTTGGCACAATCTATCTGTTAAATGAGCCTCATTACCAGATGCATAGAGGATAACTAACGTAATGCCTGTTTTTAAAAAAAAAAACCTGAGATGATCCTGACAATTACTAGGAATGTGTTTATTCTTGTAAATGTGTAACTGCCTGTCCCATGTCCTGCCTGCCCTCCATGCTGCTGCTTCTAAACTGTATCAGAGGCAGCAGCATGGTGGGGAGCAGTCCCCACAAGCACCGGCTCCTGCCTGCACCCATCCTCCTGCACTGCTGCCTCTGTGGGAGGCAGCGGGAGCGGGAAGGGAGGTGGCTTCCTGGGAACTGGAACGCGCAAAGAGCTGCCTTAAAAGCTGCTCCCAATGCCCATCAACTCCTGTTTCCCTGATTCAGAGACAGCAGCACGGTGGGCATGCTGTGTGTAACTTTCAGGGTAACAGTATACACAGGTACATGTTCACATCCCTACAATTACAGGCCTAACTTCCATACAAGGCAAATTGTTTAAACAATAGTAAAGAACAAAATTAACAGAGACATTGATAAACAAAGTGTGTTGGAGAAGAGTGAAGAGTTGTTTTTCTAAATGGAAATTAGAATGCTTTGACTAGTCAGCAAAGATGCACATGAGTGATACTGTCAATATACAGTAAAACTCCCAGTTGTCCGTTATCCAGTGGTCTGGCACTTCCAATACAGGCAGTCCCCCGAGGTACGCGGATCCGACTTATGTCGGATCCACAGTTACGAACGGGGCTTTTCTGGCCCCGGAGGATGGGAGCAGCGGGATGCCCAGATGCGCTGCAGTCCCGCTGCCCGCGTCCTCCGGGGCAAGAAAAGCTGCTCCGCGTCTTCCTGGTCTGCTGGGGGGAGCCCCCCCTAGCAGACCAGGAAGACCCAGAGCAAAGCTGCGGAGCACGCGGGCAGCGGGACAGCCCAGACGTGCCGCGGCTGTCCCACTGCCGGTGTCCTCCGAGGCTTTGCTCCCCATCTCCCTGGTCTGCTGGGGGGAGCCAAAGCCTCGGAAGACAGGGAGCAAAGCCTCGGAGGACACCGGCAGTGGGACAGCCGCGGCACATCTGGGCTGTCCGCTGCCCGCGTGCTCCGCGGCTTTGCTCCACGTCTCCCCAGACCAGGAAGCCCGAGGCAGACGGGCTTCCTGGAATCAGCCGCTGATCAGTTTCAGCAGCAGCTGACTTGGGGACGCCTGGGGTTCTTAAGTTGAATCTGTATGTACGTCGGAACTGGCGTCCAGATTCAGCCTGTTGAAACTGA